TTTCGTACATTATTTATTTATGTAATTGTATTGAAATATGTATAATTATCTCTATACCTTTGTAATTTGGTTTGTGAGAATAAAGATATATAGTACTTTAGGACTTGTTGAAAAAGATCATAGTGCCAAATAAATTTTGTTGAAATTACTCATTCCTCTTAATTTCATTAAGATTGGGAACTTTTCGATATAGGGCAAAAGTAATTCATTATCCCTGAAAAGCCCGTGGTATTTTTTTTTTAAATTGAGAAAAATTAAAAATAAAAAAATCTATTTTTTCAACTGCCATAAACAAAATAAATATTACATACCATTTCCTGTTTCACAATTATAAATCCAATTGCAAAAATCAAACAAATAGATAAAGCAGTACTGAAATCTTCAGTCACTATGATTTTTAACACGTTCTTTTGTTCCATAATACGTTTTATGTAAATTGAACTATATATATTGATATAAAATTGTTTACCCCGTCATATGTCTTTTTTTTTGATAAATTAAATTTTACAGGTCAAAGTTTCACGTATGTTCTAGTCAAGTTAAACGCTTGCACCTAATAAACGTATGAGCATCGATTATAAGTCTAAACTGTGAAGTATAATATTTATTGTTACACGAGATTTATTAAATTAAAGTTATTGCATATTTGGTTTACCAAAGCGTTTTGATTGATTTTTGGAAATATGCTGGCCTCCACTGAGCACATATCAGTACTTCCTTGTTTCACCATTTACTTGTAAATCCCTACATTACCAGATACTTGATTTGATCTTTGTTCGGTTTAAAAATTTTCCATGAGTCAGTAGGGAGAAATTTTGATTTTTTATTTTGTTTCCACTGAGTCTCTCCTAAGTACTTGTTAGTGTGTCTCTTCAACATTATTTTTCTTTCCTAATACGGCTGAATTTAGATTTCTGTTTCACGAATATATGAAATTACATCCGTAACTTTACAACATCTCTCTATTCATTTGAACTCCTAGTTATTCGTTATTCTACGAATTGTGCTCTTGATAATGTAAAAATATGTATTAGCAGGTGTAATAACCGCAACGGAGATCACTTCTCATGTGGCCATATATTTATATTTATTTAACTTGACATATGGTGTCCATGTTTTCTGTCAGTGAGGAGATTGTGGTAGACCAGAGGGTAGATTTGAATTTAAAGGTTTGCAGGTATTTCCATTCCAATTTAATATCTTACTTGATTAACATTTTTTCTTTTCTGAAAGTTGAGCCTTCAGACAGTGAGTTCCATATAAAACATGGGTGCAGAATTTTAAGGGAGGGCATCTGAGGCTGAGCTACACCCAGCAATGTTTCACTATCTAAAATGTGATTGTTTAATATAAATCTCAGAGCTTTTTCCTAAATGTTTATCTGTTTTACCAGAGACATAGTATTATATGTCTCTGGTTTTACTTACAATTGATTCACTACAGAATGCCATGAAAGGAGTTCAGGACGCAAATTACTTGAAAATTTGACCGATATATAAAATTTGTGAAAAAATCGTCAAATTGGTTTAGTGGTAATAGTAGTAGAATGATATGTCTGCGACTTAGAGCTTCTAAAAGGGCAACTTGTCTATTGTTCAAGCTCAACGCACACACTAGCGTAGTAACTGTAATGAAATCAAACTGCATGTAATATATATGTTGTGTACAAATTGTAATGTTGTACAAATTATAATTTGTACAGAAGTTTTGTACAAGTTATCAGTATTTTATGAACCGCATAACACAAATGGATGATACAAGCACACAGTCTTTTGTTTCCGATATTTCTGTCATATTTCCATGACTACATGATACAGTCTAATACTGAGCATTGATACAAAAAAAACTTATAAGAAAACAAACAGACTTTTTATGGATATGATTTTGGTATAAGGAGAAAAATAAAAATAGAATTTAAATTATTCAGGTGTCCTCATTTCCTGTTTTAGGACAAGGAAAATAGCACTAAATCAGTGTTTGGTTGAAGCAGAGACATGTGTATATATGTCTCTGGTTGAAGTATAAAAATTTGAATTTAAGACATTAAGCTGATAAATTTTCACTTAAATTTTAGAAGATAATCTTGTATCACCTGGTACAAAAAGGTATGTGTTCAAAAACTTATAACTTGTACAAAAACACTGTACAAATTACAATTTGTACAAACTTACAATATATATATAAGAAAAGTTGAAATACCAGAGACATATATGTCTCTGAAATACGAATACTCGTTTCTCTTCTCTCTTCCTAAACGTCCCGTTGATACACAGAGAAAATCCATCTATCTATTTTAAGATTCAATTATCAGGTGTTGTCGATTGTTTAAAATGGCACATCTAACATGGGTTCTTTATAGCTGATAGTTCAAACCAATAATATCAACTAAATAAGCATGGGTAAGCATATACATAAAAAGCAAAAGACTTCATCTGCATGTTCATTAATTTTATACAAATAAATGAAATAAATAAAACTAAAAAGGGCATGCAAATATAATGCAAGCAGATATATATAGCTTACTTGATTTCTAATATTCCAAGGTCAATGTTCTCAGAATAGAGGAAATATAATAAAAATACTAGCAAAACTTAAAACCATTATAAAGTAAAATGAATAAAGTATAATAATTAAGCACTCAGGTGCCATATAATACATATTTTCAACAGGTTTGAATATTCTGGCAAGTTAATTGTGCATGAAATAAACTTGTTAAAAAACAATATTGTTGAACATTGGTTTGCTAGAGGAGTTTGTCATTTGAGACTTGAATATCTCAAGTGATTAAGCTCTGCATGCACATGGCCAACTATTTTCCTCAGTGTAAGCCAGTACGAGTTATCGCGCATGATTTTAATTTCTTATCCAAAGATCAGTCTTTTCTGTGTGTGATAACATATCAAGACAGTATGCATACCTGTGAACTGACCTGTATTCTGCGGGTAACACCCATGAATTTCCCCTTCCACACAGGATTTTTTTAATACAGGCCAGGTATTCAAATAACTTTGGATTACAGAAAATGACTTGTTTTCACCCGTATTTCATGGTAAGTGGTTATTTTGAAAATAGAAATAAGACTTTTTGTATTTCTGTTCCACTATTTTACTGTGTCAATGTGTGTTGTGTCATAATATTATAATGCTTGTGTTGCACTAATATATATGTTTTCTTCTTCTAGTTAACTTTTGATGTTGATGTATTTTCAGTTGCTGTTGCTAGAACATTTCCACAAGCAAGACTAATTAGAAACAAGTTTTAACATATTGAGTTCAAGGTTTATTTAAGTAAGTGTTTAAATATTTAAGATAAAGTATTCTTTTAAAGAAACAAAGGAATGCTAAGTACTCAAGGAAGAATTCTTGAGATTTTGAATTGTGAGAAAACCTCACTCACTCACATGTAGATATTATGTTTGTGATGCTTTTGAAATAGAGAAAAAATGTCTTTGGTTGAAATGATTGAGCTTATATAGAATTGATATTATTTTTCTCATAAGGTGTCAGTGAATTGCTTTATTATTTTAAAATTAGCAAAATTATCTCCCCTGATATTTCTAATCAATTTTGCTTTTGAGTGATTTAGAGTCGCTATACATGTATTTTATTCACCCCACTGCCATTGGTTTATAATCTGAAAGATTGAAGATTCTTGATACACAAAAATGCACAAATTCAGTTAAAATCAAAACTTAGTACTGTCACATAATCATTGACTGTAAATTCAGAAATTATTGCAAGGTTTTTATAAATGCAAATAATTTGACTTTGTGATTAACATGTTTAATGCAATAATAAGAACTCATGTTCTGATATCTGATGCATATATCTGTATGTAGATTTTTCTGAAATCACAATAATTAATCTGCAATATTAATGATATTTGTCCATTCTTCAAAAATTGCAATTTTAAATACATGCAATAATTTCTAAATTTACAGTTTTTAATAACATGAATAAGAGGTCAGTTTAATAATAGAAGTGTAGGTTTATTGTTATAATTAAATGTGAGAATTTATGTCAAATCAGTGAACATAAATTTGACAAGTAAAGCCCACTTTTTTTACTGAAATCAAGCATTATTTCTAAATTCAGATCTTGTAAACTTTAAATGACCTACAATCATATTACTGAGTGTAAGAATGCACACAGTGGAGTAAAGTAGCTATCAAAGTCCCAATGCAATTCCTTAAACAAATTTACATGATTGTATAGGTCACTAAATAGCTGTGATCTAACAGAAAACATTAAAACTTAATCAAAGTAAATGCAGCGTAAAATATTGGTCAGAATGAACTACTTTTTGTTGGAGGCTTTTATCATGCTTTATATACTCCTCAATTTGCATATTAACATTAAGTTATATGAATGTAGGTACATTTTGATTTATATACACCAGATGTGCATTTCGACAACAAATGTTTTTTCAGTGATACTATTCTTGAGGCCAAAATATTTCAAAACCCAAACCTTATATGAAAAATTGAAGAGCTGGTCAAACCAAAACAAAATGTATAGCCAAAGACAGTAACTGTAATCTGAATTTAAAATAAAAATCTTAATCAAAGTCTTAAATAAAGCATTAAATATCTGTTGTAGTATTTGCTGAACCAAGTTCTCTCACTATGTTAGTCAAGGGGGGTCTTTTGGTCCATAGTGGACGGATGGTCTAAGAAGTTTATCTACTGTATCACTAGCTATATATATATAGCCTGTCAACAATGAGGTTGTGCATCGAACATCGCTCATGGCCGGTGTGTTCCACTTCAATCTTTATTTACTTGGATTCTTAGTTTTACTGGTGAAGGCTGATGGTTTTCTCCAGGGTCTCTGACTTCCTCCACCAAAAAAAAAATGACCACCACAATATAGCAATTAATAGTGCTGAAAGTGGCATTAAACACCAACAATCAATCAATCATATGCATGTGTTCATTCAGACATTGATTTAAGATATCAAATGGAAACCATTTTGTCATCGAAACTTTTTTGCAGGTAAAATGGAGGACAATAACCATTGGCAGATTGGCAAGTCTGTTTTGGAACGTAATGAACATATGCTGACCAATCAGGTGATGTGTGATGTTACCTTCATAGTAGGACATGATCAGTCTCCTATTAAAGCACATAAATACATGTTAGCCAGCAGTAGTCCTGTATTCTTTAACATGTTTAATGGAGCAGTGGCTGAGAAAGGCAATGTGAGAATTCCAGACGTAAAGGCTGATGTCTTTAATGAACTACTACAGTATGTATAGATAAGTGATAGAGTTTACTGTAAACCAACTAATTTTTGAAAGCGATTTATTTTAGTGACTTTCGCGAGTAGAAAAATAACGTGAATATAAATCGTCGTAAATATGTAAAACTTGGATCTTTTCTTACTTAATTACATTAAGCAAATTTGAAAATCGCAAAATTAAATCTCCGCTGAATGGTCTAGTAATGGCTAAACGCAAAATAAAGTATCCGCGAAAATAAGTTGGTTTACAGTATAAGGATGTGAATAGGAGATCCTTCATTTCTGAATTTCTTTAATTTTTAACGTTTATTTTTCTCTATTCTTTATATTTTATGCCCATTATTCTCTATTCCATATATTTTATCAGCCAGGGATGGGGTAATTGAAAATGTAATGGTAATTAAGTGTAATGCATTACAATTTTCCATGTAATTGAATGTAATGTGTAATTGAGTATTCTTTTAATTACATGTAATGGTAATTTAATTAATTACAATGAAAAAAGCATGTAATGCTAAATTACTTTTGAATTACATTTCAATTACATGCACTTTTATGGTGATAATGATAAGACATTATGTTAATATAAGTTGTAAAATAACATTTATTTTACAAATATTAATATATCAGGTACATACTTTTTTAATACACAAGTCTGTAATTTTTCCCTATTTTTTTTTCAATGTTATTTATTTGACATACAGAATGGTTTGCTCAATACTCTTATAATTTGAAGAAAAAAAAGTGAGAATCACACAGTTCATTTAGAATTTTTAATCACTACACAATCATTTTGTCAAATTAGTATACACAAAAGGATTATAGAAATAAAATTATCAGCTGTAAAAACAAACAGCAATTAATCCGATTAAAATGTGTAATAAAATAGCCTAGGGACAATGCCACAATTGCATGTATTTTATCTAATTAGCAAAATATTGCTAATATTTAGTCATTATACATTGTTTGTACTAAATATCATTTTCAATATTGTGACAAGAATACTTTTTAATAACGTCAAGTAAAAAAAAAAATGGAGACATTTTAAAATTTATTTATAATTTTTTAATTTATATGATGTTTAATTTAATTACTTCATTTCTGAGATGTCAATAAATCCCTCAATGTATTGGCAAGTTAATAAGAACAAATACCCTCTTCTATCAACACATCATATGATCTAGCAATACATGCCACATCAGCTCCTGTCGAAAGACTATTTAGAATTGCTGGCAAAGTGTACAGACCAAAGAGATGCAAACTAAATGACAAAACATTAAAAACTTCAAATTATGATCAAATGCAATGCTAAAACTATGTTGTAAGCTTACATGAATCTTTTTCATATGCTATAAAAAATATTGTTTAAAAAAATTATGATTAAATGTAATGTGTAATTTAATTAATAACTTTAGTAAAGTAATTGTAATTTAATTTATTACATTTCAAAAACTGTGTAATGGTAATTAGTGTAATTGATCATTTTTGCAATGTAATGTGTAATTTAATTAATTACATTCCAATGTAATTGACCCCAAGTCTTATTGGTATGCAATTGTATAAGCATTAGCACATCTCATTTCCACGGAGAATATTTGGCCCTGCCCCCTCAGTCATGGTCTATTGACTTTGAAACTTTTGCTTAGTTAACATGTATTCTTTTGTGATTAGATCAGTTTTAGATGATATTTGGTATGCAAATTTATTGGCATTTGCAAGTCTCGTTTCCATGAAGATTATATAGCCCCACCCCATCATCATGGTTCATTGACTTGGAAACTTTTACATAGTTGACAAGTTAATGTTTGTGTTTAGGTTTGTTTAAAGGGAACGACTAAGGATAAGTCAATGGTATTTGGTATGCAGTTGTATTAACATTGGCATATTTCATTTCCATGGAGATTGTTTAGCCATGTACATTCAGTCATGGTTCATTGACTTTGAATATTTGCATAACTTACATGTTAAAGTATTGCTATTTTAATTTAAACATAAATTGCATTATCAAATTTACAAAAAGGCGAGACATAAAATCAATTTTAGCAATGAGCAACATCACAGGTGCCACATTTTGAGCAGGATTGGCGTACCCTTCCAAAGCACCTGAGATCACCGCCCCTTTTGGTTGGCTTCATGTTGTTTCTTAGTTTTCAATTTGGTGTTTTGTAGATTGTCGTTTGTCTTTTTATGGGTTCCTTTTTTTGCCATGGTTTTGTCAGTCTGTCTTGGACCTTTGAGTTTCCAAAGTCCTTGTTGGATCGTCCTCCTCTTTTTTACTACCAATTCTTGATATTTACATGATTTAGTTTTGCACTCTTTATATGTTTTATAGGTTTATTTACACAGAAGAAAATAACATCACCAATGAAAATATTCATGACATGATTTATGTCGCAGACAAATACATGATGGATGAATTAAAGGTCAAATGTGATCACTTTCTTAAAATGAAAATGAATGAAACCACGGCAGTTGCAATTTTACATACAGCACACAGTTTCAATTTAGAAGAAACTATTGATAAAGCTATGTTCATTATATGCTGCAAACCAGAGGAATGCCTTTCAACAGCAGAATTTATTCGTCTATCCAGGCGATGTGTCGAGATGATTTTGAAGTGCAATGTAATGATTTGTCTAGAGGAGTTCCTGTATGACGCGGTTCTAAAGTGGGGAGGACATCAGTTGGAAGAGAAAAATCTAGAGATGAATGATAAGAATGTAAGAGATGAGCTTGGAGATCTTTTATACCTTGTTAGGTTCCCAATCATGAAACAAGATTACTTCTCCAGACAAATTTCCACCAGAGATATCTTAACTAAAGACGAAATAGTCAATGTTTTTCAATCATTTAATGATCAGCAATTAACCAGTTGCAAGTTTAGAACAGAGAAGAGACTTCCAAAACCAATACCTTTCTTCAGGTGTGAGGTAAACAATAATCGCAACGCCAGATGGATAACCAAATATGATGATGACTTAGATTTCAAAGTTGACAGAGATTGCTTTTTAAAAAGTGTGATCATATTTACCCCAAGGGTGACAGGTAAGACCTTGCCAGAGTTAAGCCCGACCATCCTCATAACATCCACTGAAGGAAATAACCTGAGACCCAAAACAAACTGGATGGAGAAATTGGATTTAACAACATCAAGTGTGCATTCAGAAACTGTTACCCATGTGTTTTATATTCCAGTACCAGTCAAAAAGGAAGTAAGATACACCATTCATTTCATGATGGACATTTCAGCTAACTTTTTTTTCTTTAACACAGGTAAAGACTATAGACCTACAGTGACTGTAGATGATATTACAGTTACCTTTCTTAAAGCAAACGCACAGAGCCAGACAGATGTCAATCAAGGTCAATACATGGGAATTGAACTTGGTAAAATAGAATATACATAATAAGAAACTTTCAAGTATTTCTTAGAGAGTATATAACAGTTTATTATCTCCCTTTGAAGAAATTGCAAAGTGAGACATTATCTTAACCTATTATGAAGTGACGGCATCCTCGGTACCTTATGCTATTTTTAGTAAGGTTCATTTCAGAATAAGTTGTTATGAAACATTATTGACTGTTTGGTACATGTATAGGATTGTATCAGTATCCAATTAATGTTGCATCATCATTTCTAGCTACATGTATATGTATGAAGCCAGTCTCTTCCAGGTCATGCTATATAGTGACTATAGAAATGTATATTTTAAGTTTACTGATAAGGAAGGATTATGAAGATTGTATAAATTTGATATATGATATGCTGTTACATACATGTAGCATATCTAAAAATAAAAGATGTTTAGTGTATAACTGCATCATAACTAACATGACTAAATTAACATTTTTCAATGTTTTTGATTATAAATCATGTAAATAGCACAATTGCATCTTCTATAAATACGGTATCATTGCCCATATATATTACAAATCATATATAGATAGCTTTGTTGAACACTCAATGTGGCTCTTTGTGGGCATTAAATACATTCATAATTGATAGCCTTATTGAACACTCAATGCGGCTCTTTGTGGGCATTAAATACATTCATAATTGATGTGCTATATATACATACAACATTTTTGTCTCGCCTGAATGGAGTCAAAAAGCGAGACATAGGTATGCTATTTCCGTCGGCGGTGGCGGTGGTGTCAACAATGTATTTATAGTTTGTGATTAGGTCTAGTTTATGGTGAACCACTAGTGGTAGGTCAGTGATATTTGGTATGCAGTTGAATTAACATTGGCGCATCTCATTTCCATGAAGATTATTTGGCCCTGCCCCCTCAGTCATGGTCTATTGACTTTGAAACTTTTGCGTAGTTTACATGTATTAGTTTGTGATTAGGTCAGTTCAAGGGGAACCATTAGTGGTAGGACAATGTTAATTGGTATGCAATTGTATAAGCATTAGCACATCTCATTTCCATGGAGAATATTTGGCCCTGCCCCCTTTGTCATGGTCTATTGACTTTGAAACTTTTGCTTAGTTTACATGTATTAGTTTGTGATTAGATTAGTTTAAGATGAACTGCTAATGTTAAGTCAATGATATTTGGTATGCAAATTAATTGGCTTTTGCAAGTCTCGTTTCCATGGAGATTATATAGCCCCACTCCCTCATCCTGGTTCATTGACTTTGTAGCTTTTACATAGTTTACAAGTTAATGTTTATAGGTTTGTTTAAAGGGAACAACTTATGACATGTATGATAAGTCAATGGTATTTGGTATGCAGTTGTATTAGCATTGGCACATCTCATTTCCATGGAGATTGTTTAGCCATGTACCTTCAGTCATGGTTCATTGACTTTGAATATTTGCATACCTTACATGTAAAAGTATTGCTATTTCAATTTTCAACATTTGCATTATCAAAATTACAAAAAGGCGAGACATATCTTTATGTTAGCTATAATGTGGTCATAATGTATGAAGTTTCAGACAATTGATTGTTATTCATTTGTTATTTGCCTAAGCTTAACATTACTTTATATAAATTATAAACAACTTTGTAAGCTTAACTTTTTTGTATTGGTTGTTAAGAATTTTGTTATATATGTCTTCTATTTTTTGTGTTGCTTACTCGTTGATGTAAACTAGCAACTCATTTACAAAAAATCTTACGAGAAAATACTCATATGTAATGAACATTTCAGTATTATTCTTGCGATCGGTTTTTGTTGTAAGACTTTTTATGAAAAGAGCCCCTGACATCTAACTTTAATCATAATTATTTATACATTTATTGTCATGATACTTTGAATACTATCTTAATTGATGAAAACCAACTTATATGTCTTCTGACAAAGCTGATGTGATAACATGGTTCTTTATAGTAATCATTCAAAATTTGAAGGCTGAAATTTCATTGACCTATGTAATAACTTCCAAAAAGTACAACGGATTGTTGTCAGGTTCTTGTAAGCAAAGTGTGGACATAGGATCTGTGTTTTGATCAGATTGCATTTCATTGATGCTAATGACAAAGTACTTATTAAAGACAGTGCTGACTATAAGTACTATAATTACAGCAGTACTATTTCACTGTGTACATTTACCTAATATGTCAAGGTTTTCTTGTAACATGAGCAAAATGATGAATGGATTAGCTAAAGCTTAGCCTAATAAAAAATTACTTGAAATAAATAGGCCAGGTTTTTTCAGTTATTTTGATTGGCTACTGATATTACAATTACATATGCATTGCTGTTAAATAAGATATAAGGTAATCATTATGAACAGAATATTTATTTCATGGATGACCAAAGAAACAGGCAAACTTTAATTCATTGTTCGTTGTACAGATTCAGATAGGTAAGCTATAAAGCACAATGTTGAATATTGCTGCTAAAGCATATTAGGGATAATTTTTACATCAATTATTTTTCAAAGCTATGTATTTTGTAGTAACAGTGATCCTATATAGATTTTATCGTTTGAAGATGGACAGTCAGTGTCTAATGAGTTTGGTGCAACATGGGGTCTTATCTTTAACTTGTTCAAAAAAGGGGGACAAATGTAAAAACTGTATGATGTTAACTACAACAGTTATAGTAATATTTGATACAGTTATCCAAAGAAAAATATGAAACTAACATGAAAAAGTGGATGCCTTTAGGACATTCAAAATCACTGTAACATGTGTAAAGGAAGAGAATAATAAATTAAATTTTGTATTTTTGATAGAGAGTGCTAATTATTTATCAACTCCATTTTGTAATTTCTTTTGGAACTTAGTTTGGTGTCTAAATTTGTTTTAACTGATGAGGTAAATCCTGTGAATTTGACCAATATGATTATCACTTGTTAGTTTTTATATGTAAATATATGATTTTTGCATGTTAAATTTTGCTTTACAAGAATGTAAAAGTTCTTGCTTTAATATTAGTTAATATTATTCTTGTAAAAATATACATTTCATTCACAAGCTTCTAGAATGTGATTTATAAAGAGGTTAACATGTTTTACCCATATTTTTTATAAGCATAATTTCAATGATAATTTTTGTGAGTTGTTGAAACAGTTATTTTACTTCCTGATGTTCTTCCTTTTAAATTTGGTGAAAACTAGTTAAAATCTGTGCTTTTAAAAAGTTATAAAGAATCATATAATGTGATTAGACGAAGTGCAATTTACTTAATTCTTTGTAAAAGATGGGCGAAAGATACCAGAGGGACAGTCAAACTCATAGATCGAAAATAGACTGACAACGCCATGGCTAAAAAAGAAAAAGACAAACAGACAAATAATAGTACACAAGACACAACATAGAAAACTAAAGACTAAGCAACATGAACCCCACCAAAAACTGGGGGTGATCTCAGGTGCTCCGGAAGGGTAAGCAGATCCTGCTCCACATGTGGCATCCGTCGTGTTGCTCATGTTATTACAAACCTGGTAAAATAGTCTAATTCGGTAGGTCACATTCGTGAAAAGGGAAGGGAATTGTAGTTATGACATAAGGAACATATCCGATATCATCTGTGAAACGGTTTTCCATAATGGTCAACCAACTTGTGATGGCGTCTGTAAAATTTACGAAAAGATGATTTCAACTTCACCATTTGGAACTCTTGGTTTAATAGCTTCCTTGTGAGCAGCAACCTTCTATCAAGGAAATCATGATAGGAAACACAAGCCCGGGAATATCGTATCAATTGGGAGATATATACTCCGTATGCAGGCACTGCTGGAATGTTGCTACATAGAAATGGAAAGTTCACAATTGGGAAGCTGAAATCATCTCTTTTGTCATAAAGTTTTGTTTTCAACTGACCCTCATTGTCAATTTCTAGATGTAACTCAAGATATGAGGCAGACTTAACTGTATCTGATGTATCCTTTATCTCTAGTTCGATGGGATAGATGCGTTCAACATAGTCACAAAATTTTAAATTATTTAATGAGATAACATCTATGTAATATGAGTGTTTTCTCTGAATTCTTTTAGTGCAATATTCAGAGTTTAGTCATTGTGTACAAAGCAGAGTTGTTTCAAACTACATTTTTTTAGCATACATGTACATATTAGTTACACATGAGGTCATATTTTTATTAAACATCGGCATTATTATTCCAATCAATTTTGTTTATCTTTATTATTTTGGCTCGACAACAAAACTTATCTAACCTCAAAATGATCTATAGATTCAGTTATTTTTGTGGATTGAGGAAAATTTAAATATTTGATTCACGGTTTTCAAAAGTCTGCATACAAGCCTATAGAAAATTTGTACTTCATTGAACTTTTAATTTGGTGGTTAACCTTTACCCTCTAAATCCACAAAAATAGGAATCCCACAAATAATGAATCCATGGTATTTGATGTTCTTTGTTATGAATGCAAAAAAAATGGTATGTATGCACAAATTATGTATGGTTCATTAAATCAAAGAAAGTATACATTCTAAGTGTAAAACCCTAATCATGTTTAGTTGGTATTCCAATCACTTCCTTGAAATAAGCCCGGGAATATCGTATCAATTGGGAGATATATACTCCGTATGCAGGCACTGCTGGAATGTTGCTACATAGAAATGGAAAGTTCACAATTGGGAAGCTGAAATCATCTCTTTTGTCATAAAGTTTTGTTTTCAACCGACCCTCATTGTCAATTTCTAGATGTAACTCAAGATATGAGGCAGACTTAACTGTATCTGATGTATCCTTTATCTCTAGTTCGATGGGATAGATGCGTTCAACATAGTCACAAAATTTTAAATTATTTAATGAGATAACATCTATGTAATATGAGTGTTTTCTCTGAATTCTTTTAGTGCAATATTCAGAGTTTAGTCATTGTGTACAAAGCAGAGTTGTTTCAAACTACATTTTTTTAGCATACATGTACATATTAGTTACACATGAGGTCATATTTTTATTAAACATCGGCATTATTATTCCAATCAATTTTGTTTATCTTTATTATTTTGGCTCGACAACAAAACTTATCTAACCTCAAAATGATCTATAGATTCAGTTATTTTTGTGGATTGAGGAAAATTTAAATATTTGATTCACGGTTTTCAAAAGTCTGCATACAAGCCTATAGAAAATTTGTACTTCATTGAACTTTTAATTTGGTGGTTAACCTTTACCCTCTAAATCCACAAAAATAGGAATCCCACAAATAATGAATCCATGGTATTTGATGTTCTTTGTTATGAATGCAAAAAAAATGGTATGTATGCACAAATTATGTATGGTTCATTAAATCAAAGAAAGTATACATTCTAAGTGTAAAACCCTAATCATGTTTAGTTGGTATTCCAATCACTTCCTTGAAATAAACTGCATTTATGTTAACATGGGAAAATGATTGAAAGACCTAATTATTGATTTGTATCTGTCATATCAATATACATGTTCTTACAGATAGTCAATACTTAACAACTTCATATTCATATATTTTTTAAGAATTAAGATTTATAACTGAGATCATGAGTTCTAGTAATGGAATTACTGTTTGTATATATATAGCTGTTGTAAAGTGTTTGTGAAATTTTATATAATGAATATATGCTGCACTTGTTAAAAAGATTATGAAAATTTTTTTCAGGAATAATGCATAAAGAAATAAAAAAGATTATTTTGAATCTTGTGTTATTCTACCTTTATATATCTATTGTACTCATTTTTTGTCCCTATTATATGTTCTCTTGCTCAAAAAACCATGGTAGTCTTATGGTCGAGTTTTCTGCAGTACAGGACATCATGGGTTCGATTCACAACAGATTTATTATATCAAAGACTTGAAAATTGATATTTGCACTTCTCCACCAGCACACAGATTTAGGAGTAAGAGGAAAGACTAGTTGGGTTGGAGTCTGAATAGGATGAAATATTTACCTGTTCTCTTGTGAGCTAGTATATTAATAATCTGACACAGTGTGTCAGTCTAGTACAAAACAGGGTATAATGATATCTCATTTAAACATGTTATCCTCCTTAATATGCATGTTATATATTTGCTGATGGACATTAAGCAGATATTAATCTATCAATCAATATTCTGTTGTCAATCATCACATAAACATATACATACTGAAGACCGTACTTTGACCTATAATGGTTTACTTTTACAAATTGTGACTTGGATGGAGAGTTGTCTCATTGGCACTCATACCACATCTTCTTATATCTATTAACTAATATAAATATAAGAAGATTTTTTAAAATTTTTAATGAGACAACTATCTATCTGAGACCAAAGGGTTATAGGATGTAAACAACTAGAGGGTGCTAAACTGCCTCGGTGGTCTTGTGGTAGCATTTTCTCCTCGACCACGAGAGGTCTTATGTTCAAACTCTTGCATGGTCAATCCAGACTTTAAAATTGGTATTTGCTGCTCCTCTGCTATGCAAGTGGCTTTAAGGAGTAAGAGCAAAGACTGGTCGGCTCTAACAATGGGTGACAGGGTCTTTCTGTGGACTGCTACCTTGTGACCTAGGACGTCAAAAGTCCAACTCAGCATGTCGGTCTTGTTCAGAGCAGGGTTAATATTTATATTACATGTTTATGTTCTCTTCCTGAATATGCACTTAATTTGCCCCTAGATGTTAAACAGACATCCATCATCATCATCACTATAGGGTGCTGTACTGAGGTATATGCTTTATTTGGTTACATCTGATATTTCCACTTCAACAAAAGTAAGGCCTGGTTACAATTTGGAATTTTGATTCTCATACAAAATGTACCCAATCTGCTGGTTCTAATTACCATACTAGTTTACTTTTACCTTTACTGAATTATTCAGATAAGTGGTTGAAGATATGGAATCTATGACAATTTCAGCTTTTGTAAAGTGAAAATAAGATATTTTCTTAATATTTGTACTTCATGTTGTAAACTTACTGGCTTACATTTTGTTTTATGTTTCTCAAACTCCATCAAAAATAGTAGTCAGAGGATCTGTATACCTCTCATGATTTTCATTAAACTTAGTTCATGCATTTATGCTGCATATTTCCTATGTGGCTTGGATTATTATCTCATCAGGACAAAGTTGTCTAATACATGAGTCCGTTAACATATGTGCAATGTGTGCGTTCTACAACTTTTTATTTAAATGGTACAGCTTTTTTGTTGTTTATTTGAGGCTTCTGTTACTTTTATGTGTCTATACAGTAATGAGAGAGGATGATTATAGATGTAGGTTCTGATTGTGTGTCTGTATGTCACACTCTTGTTTATGCCATACTTTTAGTAAAATTACTGTGCTCATTTAATTTTATACAGAAGCTTTATAATGGAGTAATTTGGATGGTAACTAGACATAAGTAATTTGTTAAATATTTTTGGGGCAAATCTTAGCAACTTAGTATCATGTTGGTAGAAGAATAATATTAATATTTTGAATTGAGTATTGTTGACAGGATTGAGTAAATTTTGTGTATGAAGGTTGCTAATATAAATATCTTTGGTAATTGGATGTGATGGAAGCTTATTGAATATGTTTGGAATAAAAATCACTCAGATAAAAAATTGCCTTTCTCTATACAAGAAGTATATTTTATAAAAGCCAAATATGGTCAATATAAAAAGTGAAAAGGCTGGTTTTCAAAATTTATTTATTGTATAATAACTATATGTACTAAACCCACATGTAAATGCTAAATAGAACAATCTCTAGTTGTTTGTCACTGAGTAAACATGTACATATAAATTCAAAATAATGATGAGATCTGTTTAACAAAATTGATCTTCAAAATTCCTTAACAAGCAAGCACTGCAAGCAAAGTCTGATCCGGCATAAAAAGCACTATGATGATCAGAAATATATGTAAAAATATAAACTCTTTTTATGACATGTATGATACCTTTTATCAGCGTCTGAGCATTGATTTTATTTACAATAGATAGTGCTATGCAGTTTCCAGCCTCTATTCTGTTCTTTGTTCTCATTTAAAGGGACTGTAAATAAAAGGAATTTGCTTTTGAAATTCAGAGAAATGTTAACATGTCTTTTAGTTCAGGGCCTTCTTGATTATTATGATATTAAAACTGACTATCATTAAAAGAAATTAATGTGTCAAATTTATCACAAAAGTCATTCAGCCTATTACCTGTATAGATGACAACAAACCTTTATTACTGAAAATCAAAACATCATAAAGCCCATAAACTTAACAAAAAATAACAGCACCTAGTAATAAACATAAATTCTAAATGCATAAAATTAAAGTATCAACAATTTCATTGATCAAAACCATTTTTCAAAAAATTTTAAACAAATTCATTTTAATTGTCCTTCTGTCCTTTTACTTATACACCAATCAACTTGTCTATATAATTGTGCAAAACAAAAATGTATGAAACATGAGTAAATATGAAATTCACCTATATTCCTCTTCCAATATTTTTCTGATTATTAATATATAAATTTGCCTAATTTACTACAGACAGGTAATCTCAATAAAACATGAAAACAACACTTTATAAATTTCATGCATCCAAAGAATTTTTCTAGATGTACTTTCATCAGGAACGCCCAAAGCCAAATATTTAAAAGCCAAGAGTGTACAATTGTTAAATTTTCTAACAGTTTTCAATTTGCAGTATTAAATGATTATCTTTCTTTAAATAGAGATAGTTCTAACCAATCCCTTCTAAAAGGAAGTATTTATGGGTCATTTACTTTATACCATTAGTAGTTATTGAAAAAAAAGGGGGGGGATCACCTGTTTTCAAATCTATTTAATTCTGAACATATTCATCACACCATTCAAATTATAAGCCTGGTATAATTGATGAGTTTTTCCATAACATGAAGAATTGGTTCATTCAAATGTTATACACAAAATTACCCTGGTGCAGGATATTGTAAAAGCAATCAATGAAATATATCATCAAACATATCTTTCACCAAATCAAACATTGTGATTAATGGTATACCTGAATAAACTTTGTTTATGTATAATGTAAATGGCGCACAAAAGTTAAATGTTTTCCAAAAAAATGCCCTTTCTAAAATTTATAAAAGTTTATTCTTTCAAATTGAATTCAAAATATAGGTCACCATTATACATTTCTATACTGTTTTAAACTCCATCATTTATATCTATCTCATTTGAAGAAATCATTCTTTTATGAGAGAACTCAAAAACTCAATAGTAGAAATTTATTAGTTGAGAATGATCTGTTCACCAAACATTTCCCAGATAAAAAAACGGGTACATCCATTCTTATTTTCTTGATATTTACGCACACATGCAAAGCTGTTGTTTTCATGTAAACAAAACTCAAAATTGTATACAACCATTATAAGCTGCCTACCATTGGGCTGTTGTTTCTATAGAAACCATCTCATATCCCAATAATTCTAAACCACACATATATCAAACAGTATACAGAGAAAATACAGGGGAGGGAATAAATCCATCATCACTCAGAATTAAAATAAAATTTCAAATAACAATAAAATAAAACTTGTCACAATATTTACAAGTAAATGAGATTGAATCCTTCACAACATTGAATATCATTCTTTCTTTGTTTAAACAATAGCAACATTTTTATCACCTTTCATGCAAAGCAATTTCTTTTGGCACACAAATTGATAATTAAATTCAATTAATATTGAAATATATTTCAAATTGGAATATATACAATAAAACAATAGGACTGTAACAATTATACATAAAAATCATTTAATCTTAGGCCAGTGTTCTTACAGTCAACGATAATGAGGACCCTGATCTGTTTATGATCCACAAGTTTTTATACAGCTGCACTGACTTGACGGAGTAAGACTAACAGGCCAATAATTAAGCATCATTTAACACATACAGATCTTAGAGAATCATCAGAAGTCATCAGATCAAATTTTACCATTACCATGTTTACAGGTTTTAAATAAATGTTACCCTGAATTGCTATGTGAGATTAAATTCCTGGGATCTAGGCCAGAGATACAGATTTTTAAATAAACCTTAACCATGAATTGTTTTGTGAGATTTATTTTCTGGGATCTAGGCCAACAGTACAGGTTTTTTTATAAATCTTATCCTGAATTGTTATGTGAGATTTATTTTCTGGGATCTTTGAAGTTTACCAATACTTGCTATACTTGTTACAGTTCATGAAATTAATGTTACCTCAATACAACAACATTATGTTATCCTAAGATGTCTGCCCTATGAGGAGTGTATATTTATTAACCTTTCTCGAAATTTTCAATGGATTTCCTTATCCTGTAAATACTTTTTTTTTAATTTGTGGAAATAGGAATTCATGGATTTCATTTTCTTTAATAAAATTTTAATGAGTTAAAACTTATCAATAACTTACTATTTTACTGCTACAGAAGAGAAATTGCATGTAAACAGTCTTTCAATAAGTCAATAAATTGACAGATAGCAATCTTGATTCAAAAATTACTTACTTTGACATTACTTTTTTATACAGATAATTAAGACGGGGGAGGAGTCTCAGAAAAGTCACCAGTGATAAAAAAAGTACATAGTACATAGTGATATAATAAACACAAAAATAATACTGCTGTTAATTCATGACATATAACCAGCTTGGGTTAACAAAAATAAGCAATAGTGTTTGAAATAAGATAAAAACAAATGCAAATACAAAGTAGACAAATATTTTGTTTAACTTATAAAATGACTAGCACATATAACAAAGGACTTAGAGTACCACACAGTTTCTTACTTCACTTGAACTTTATTCATGAAATACTTATTTTAATGGATTTCAAGATTTGTTACAAAAAACTCAATGAACAAGCAAATCTTCAATAATTATTGATGTGATTGTGTTTAAAGTTTTAATTTTTAAAATGGACATGCAAACCAATTCTTGATAAAAAAAATTATGAAAATTGGTGATTTATTGAAAATGGTTTTCACCTTTTTTATAAAGTTGACAAAATACTGAAAAGTCTTTGGTTTAAACTATGAATAAAATCTGAATACATAAATATAGATAATAAAAAGCTCTTAGGATAATTTGTCATACAGAAGCATCATTTAAAAATAGCTGAAAACAATATCTTCTCAAAAACAATAACTTTTTTTTCTGAGAATTAACCTGAGGGAGTGAACAACAGAATTATTGCATAGCATGTTTGATAACTTGTTTGGTTGAATTTGATTAAATTTCAGTAAATGTATTTCGGTAATAAGAACCTCCAATGAAATGAAATGGTCTTTAAGCTATAAATTTTTAAACAAAAAATCTGGTTCATGTCAATTTTGTACTATGCAATGTTGAGATTTCTAAATGCTCCACTGGTACAACAGACTGTTATGTAAGTGTATTCAAGAATCCCTGGAATGTTAAGATTGTCTGGTCTCCATGAAATCACAAGTTGCCTCTCGCTGCTTGGTCAATTTCTATGGCTTCAAACAATGATTTGAAGTTCCCAGCACCAAAACCCTAAAATAAAAAGAAGTTGTATATATAATTCTTAAATAACAGATTGAAGTTAAGTGCTGCTGAATTATTCATATCTGTCACTAGGGTCAGTTGTCTTGGTTACATGATAGACCTGAGAACACGGTAATTTCGTAGTGCATTTCTTTTTGACAATAAATGAAATTTAAAAAATTGCACCTGTGCTTTCTCAATAATATTTTTACAGTGTGGTGTACTACTATTGGAACAAATTATATCAAAATTATAGAAAACTTCATCAGATCTAACTCAAAATATGGAACATTTTATTTTTTGGGGCTTGAATTCTTTTGCCAGCTTCAGACATACTAATTTTTAAAGGCAGTGCTTTAATGCCTTTCTAGTTGCCGGGTTAATCCTTCCTTCCGCGATATCCAACTTATCTACGTGGGGGGTCATTAGACTCCAAGTAGATCCGGAAATGTTGAATTCTCTCCTCTTCTTATTGCGATATAAAATGTTTTTTGTTTCATTTCATTTACATTGGGAAATAGAGAAACGATTATTGTGTTTTGTTAGTTTTAAAAACTTTTGATATATTAGTATTTTGCATTATAAGCAGTCAACCGATTGACAAACTAGAATTATTTGAATTCCGTGTGGAAAGAGCTCGGGTTAATTTCGAGTGTTATCTGCAATCTAGATGTTTATAAATCATTTCAGTCGTTGATATAATAATTAAAGGTCGACTGAACATGAATTATATTATACAATTTAAAGCGCATTTCTGTTTATGCACGTGAACCCGTCTAACGTTATTTTCGCAGTTATATAAAGTAGCAAATTATCGTTCCTGAATAGGTGGCGCCGTGGTAGCGGATCCTGTTCCTCTACTTCCGGTTTCTGCACTGTGCAACTATTTCAGTTATATTTTTAATTAACGATGCCAAGTACTTGTTGTTGTGTACCTGGATGTCATTTAAGAGGAGGACATGCATTTCCAAATGACTTAAAAAGAAGGAAAACTTGGATCAACGCCATGGCCCATACGCAGATTGGACGAGAACACGATGATATCGTGGAGTCCATCTCAATCAGCTGTTGTTTGCAAGGCACGTTTTACTGAAAAAGACTACGTGCAGGAAACTATTCATGGTAAAACTCTATTTCCTTGTGAAATATATAGTTATATATGTAATCGCCATGCGAATAAACCAAAGTCTGTTTACAACCGCAATTATCGTTTTAGAATAAAAGGGGGTGGGTAATTCAAGACGTCATAATTTTTTGGATTACGATTCAATGTGATCTGTTTGAGATTTTTTGGTGATTGCTACAATTATAATGATTTCTTACAAGAGGTATATCATACTGAGAATTATTTTAGCAGTAATTATGCTAATGTAGTAATGACAGGAATGCATAAGCTATGCCTCATAGACTTTCTTGAAAAATATCAATGACAATGTTAACAGGAACAAAACAATGACATGCTCTCATCTATATTATAGTTATTTTGGTACAAACAATGTACGTTTGTTGCATAAGTCTCTTATTGTTTGTCCTTTGGATTTACATAACATACATTGAATCAGGCAAACATAGTTTTATCCAGATTGTAATGAATAAATCTAGTTAATATTTCGCCAGGTAGTACAAAGTTTACATTGCTAATGGAAGTTCATTTAATTATAAAAAAACTAATGCTTTATAACCTTTTTCAGGGCGCAAACCCACCATACAGAGACTTAAGTCTACTGCAATTCCCAGCCTATTTTCCTGGACCAAGCAAGAGACTGAATCGTCCGCAAAAAGAAAAATCAGGGCAGTTTCCTGTGAAAACAAAAGAACTAAACTTGATGAATATTGTAGTAGAAATCTAGAGGAAAGTTTTGATTGTAAAGTTGGTTTTCCTGAAGAAGTCATTCATACTGCAGAAAGGATTTATGACTGTCCACCACCAACTGCCGAGCTAATGTTGAGCTTCACAGATGGAATTACGCAAACACCATCAATGCCTATGTTTTCAGCAGAGAATTTTGAAATGAAGACACGTGACACAGCCATGCATTTTTATACCAGTTTAGAGTTGTATACTAAATTTTTATTTGTTTTGACCACACTTGGTCCAGCAGCACATTGTTTGAGATACATATATTTTCAAATTGATATGGTGTCAGTTGAAAATCAGTTTTTTTATGACTTTGATGAAATTGAGGCATCATACAACCAACTTTGAACTGTCTAGATTCTAGATTGAATCTAGTGTTAAGAATATTGTGTATACATGGATTGTTTTTATGTCTAAACAGTGGTGTGAGGCTAACACTTGGCTATCTAGTGGTTTAGTCAGGTATTTTTCACCATCCAACTTCAAATTAAAGTTTCCTACGACTTGGATTATTATTGACAGCACAGAATATCCTGTGATAAAACCTAAAGCTCCTAGAGCTCAGGCAACCTTTTCATCAAATAAAAACAGAAACACTGAAAATTCTTGAATGTTCGACACCTGGTGGTTTAGTCAACTATGTCTCTATGTCACATAGAGCGAATAATTGGACTTGGCAAAACATACAAAATTCTAATAAATCCTATGAATGGAACTGAAACAAAACTTTCATCTGAAATAACATTTAGTTGTTTTATGTTGTGTAATTTTAGAACTTGTATTGTGCCAAAGGATGCATAAATAAAAGTGACGCAATGAATTTTGTTCTGATATATATATATATATTTACAATTACATGCACATGTAAATTGTAATGCATATAAAAATAAGGAGATGTGGTATGATATTCAGTGAGTTTATCAAACTAAAGTGCATAAGAAATGGGTTTAAGCAGTTACAGGTGTTACTGTCACCGTACAATCTCCAACAATGAGAAAAACTCGTACCCTGTAAAAAATTTCAGAGATCTTACAACTAAGTTTTGTTGTCTCACCTTGACTTTGGTGAATTTTTTATATCTGTTGATGTAAATATAAAAAAGAAGATGTGGTATGATTGCCAATGAGACAACTCTCCACACATGCACAAGAGACCAAATGACACAGAAATTAACAGCTATAGGTCACAGTACGGCCTTCAACAATGAGCAAAGCCCATACCGCACAGTCAGCTATAAAAGGCCCAGAAATGACAATGTAAAACAATTCAAACAAGAAAACTAACGGCCTATTTTATGTAAAAAAATGAACAAATATAACAAATATGCAACACATAAACAAACGACAACCACTGAATTACACTTTTATAGGCTCCTGACTTGGGACAGGCACATACATGTACATACAGAATGTGGCGGGCTTAAACATGTTAGCGGGATCCCAACCCTCCCCCTAACCTGGGACAGTGGTGTAACAGTACAATATAAGAAAGAACTATAAAAATCAGTTGAAAGAGGCTAAACTCATCAGATGGATAAATACAAATACAAGTGGACGTGGTCGGGTAGTTGTACATCCAAACAACAAAAAGACACTAAGTACAAATCTGAGAGTACCCACAGTTACTGACAGCTAGTTCAAAGCCACTAACAACTGATAAAAAAATCTTGCATCTAAGACTAAATTATCAATCCGTAAGCTCCCTTTAGAATTTTATAAATTTTAGATTTTACATTTCTGAGTTATGGGGTTTTATTCATTAAAAAAGGGGGGATTTTCCAGTTTTTGGACAACAACTCAAAAATGCTTTAAGCAGTTCACATGAAACTTTGGTGAATTATTTATAGCTATTGATGTAATCTCCCTATTGATTTTCATAAATTTCAAATATGACATAGAGAAGAAATTGAACTTTATTTGTTTATAGTCTGGCAACAGATTTATTAAGTATTGCACAACAGCACAGTGTATTGCACAACAGCAAGAAATCTTTAATTGAATTTAAACTCAATTCATATAACTGATTTCAAGTTCATTGACTACATTTATTCAGAAACTATAATATGTCAAATATTTAATTACAATCCAAATTCAGACCTGTATCAAGCTTGAATATTGTGTCCATTTTTTCCCCGAGCTGTTCAGGGTAGTACCTCTGCGGGTGTATCCAGCTGCGCTCAGCGAATCAGTTTATTTCTTAATTAAGAACTCCTTTTTATACGACCGCAAAAAAATTTTTGTGGTCGTATATTGGTATGACGTTGTCGTCGTCCGAAGACACATTAGTTTTCCGCACTCTTAACTTTAGTTTAAGTGAATGGATCTCAATGAAATTTTGAAATAAGGTTCAATACCACAAAAGAAAAGTGGGGATTGATTTTAGGGGTTATGGTACCAACAGTTAAGGAATGAGGGGCCAAAAAGGGGCCAAAAATAAGCATTTTTGTAACTTCCAGACATAACTTGTGTGTAAGTGTATGGATCTCTCTGACATTGTACCACAAGGTTCCATATCACAAAGGGAATGCTGGGATTGATTTTTGGGGGTAATTGCCTCCAAATTTTAGGAATTGGGGGCCAAAAAGGGGCAAAAAACAAGCATTTTACTAGTTTCATAACACTAACTTGTGTGCAAGTCTATGGATCTCTCTGACATTGTATCACAAGGTTCCATATCACAAAGGGAATGCTGGGATTGAATTTGGGGGTAATTGCCTCCAAATTTTAGGAATTAGGGGCCAAAAAGGGGCAAAAAACAAGCATTTTTCTAGTTTCATGGCAATAACTTGTGTGTAAGTGTATGGATCTTTATGAAATTGTACTACAAGGTTCCATATCACAAAGGGAAAGCTGGAATTGAGTTTGGGGGTAATTGCCCAAAAAGTTTAGGAATAAGGGGCCAAAAATAAGCATTTTTCTAGTTTCCAGACAATAACTTGTGTTCAAGTGTATGGATCTCTCTGAAATTGTACTGCAAGGTACCATACCACAAAGGGAATGCTGGGATTGATTTTGGGGGTAATTGCCTCCAAATTTTAGGAATTAGGGGCCAAAAAGGGGCAAAAAACAAGCATTTTTTTAGTTTCATGACAATAACTTGTGTGTAAGTCTATGGATCTCTCTGACATTGTATCACATGGTTCCATATCACA